CATAGTTATGAAGTCCTGAATTGTAGTGACTGGATGTGACAATTGCCTAAGGGCACTTGGCATGCTGTGTAGCAGTGCCTCCTGCTGAGTACATGCATACCTTTCCTCTGCATCCTCAGCAGATGTTACCATTCATCATTACAGTGAGGGAAGGGAATCTGAGATATATCCAAAGAAAATATTTTAATGGTACAAACTAAGCTGAGATGTCTATTCCAGTAGATCACCCACACTGCCAACATATCAAGTCAGATTCAACTGTTGAAGTTTTAGATGTATATTCGTAATATATACAGCATTTATTGCATTCAATATTAGATACAATTAGGTTCTAAGAGTAAATCGGATGAGTTGGCAAATGTATATTCTCTGATACATGTACTTGGAACTTTGCCAGAAGTAGCCTGGTAACCACTCTTCCCGGGCTGGCTTGGTGTGTTATCTCAGCCCCACTGTCCTACCAAGCGTAGGGCCTTTTCTGACAGTCTATCTTTTCAGCTAGCCTTTCTTATTACTGGCCCTTCTGATTACCGCTGCCCTGTAGTAATTGAAACCAAAACTGTAAAAATTTACTGGTGTGTACTAATCAATCTGGGTTGGTGGACAACCCTCCTAGCAAGGTAGGGATATGGGAGCTTGCAATGGTATAGTATGGAATATATATTAGACAGTGTTGGCTTCAGGGCAGTGTTTTATTAAGGCCATTGTCATCACTAATTAAGGCACAGCATTGACAGTTTGCTGCAAGTCTAGTGTAGCCACTGGTTTTAGTCAGCAGTAGTAAAAGGTTGATTTTCAAGAACTGTCTTGCAAGATGTGAAGTGGTGAAATAACTCAAAACATCTGGACCAAATAACCTGGATGAACCACAGAGAGATTACTGCACAGAGACTTTGGCCCCACTGTACATGTCAACTTTTGCAATGTCAGGATGGTAACAGCTTTTATTTTTCTGTCATTTAAAAAAGTACTTTATACTCATACTAAGGTTTTTCCTGATTTTGGCAAACTCCTCCACAACAGCTCCATAGAACTAGTAGATACCTCAGTGTGAGTACCCGATACCTTCAGCACATGTTTAAAACCAGGCTGTTGAGCTCCCAAAATTGGGAGGTCAGGGTTCTGGTGTCAAGTTTGCAGTTGAAGCAGTTATATATTATACAATACATCCACAAATGTAGTAATACATTGGAAATGCACAATCTGCGGTGGATGTCTCAAGGTCTCCACAGAAATTGCAAAAATAAGTCAACACAAACATTCAGATTTAGAGTATTTATAGCTCAAGGCTTTCATCTCCTGCTTGTTGGCACGTAGGGCATCAAATGTCTTGGCTGTTGCTGTGGCAGGGTTTGTTTACAGGGAGGGGCTGCTAGCCCTGGGACCAATGTTCTTATCCAGCACACACATCGGGTCATACCACTGTTTTTGTCAACAGGTTTGCTGCAGGGCTCAAAATTCATTTTTTGAAATACTGTAAGTACACTGGTGCATGCAACCTTAAAATCTAGGAGCATAGAAAAAATGCATATAAACCACAGAAAAAAGGTAAAGTACAATGTAGAGTATGCACTGGTGCACCCACTGTCAATAATTAGGAGCACAGCTCCAATAAGCATATTCACCCAGTGTTTGAACCCTGAACTTCCACATGTATAGTTGGTAATTTTCAACACTTCCCGCAAGCATGAGGACTGGTATACAAATGAGTGCAAAGTCAGCAGGTTTTATGTTTACATGTACTTGTATTGGTAAACAGTGACTGAGAATGCCCTGATTACATATCATGGTCACACCTGTCTTGTATAAATATAAGGTTGAGGTTTGCAAGGACCACCCAAAGGATGAGACATTGACATTTTTTATTGAGGTTTACACCTTTACCACAAAAACTGAGAAGATGATGACAACATTCAAAATGGACCCACAGTACACAAACTTTGGACTTGGCCTGAATTTCATTATAATTTATACTGGGATTTAATATACGTCTATTGATTGCAATTATTTTGTTAAACCGTGAAGAACTGACTAAAAATTGCAATCGACATGACCATTACTATGTTACTTGACTAGAACCTTATGTTTCTTCTATATCTTGAATTAGATCAGTATACTGTACAATGTATGCATGTGTCCAGCCTCTGTATACAGGAGCCTCAGTCACAATCCAACACTTTGTGTATGCTGTACAGTATTCGTGTATGTAAACAAGATATGACATGAAGGCAAGATGCTATGCTTAAATGTTTTACTACATGTATGTATCATTTTCCTCCTTATGGTGTCAAATATTCTCAGGAAAAGCATGGGTTGAATTTGGAATTATAACTCTTACTTAGATTAGTCATTAAACAATTGATGTAAACAAATCCAAGTAGAGTCTATTTGCAAAGTACACCTCATCTAATTGATAGGTATTTTAGTTAAAATCAGTATCCAATCTGAAAACAAAGGATTATCTGGAATAGAATTGTTGTACATGTGTGGCTATTCAATTGGCTCCGGCTCCCCTACCTCAACTTTATTTAGGCCTAGAAAAAAATGTTGTGTTTCCTGTTTCCTGACTAACCCTAAAAAAACTGCCGACCCTAGCCCCCTTTTTTTGGTTGACCCCTGCAAGGGACATGAATTTTTTTAGCTAATTGACCTTTTCTAGCTCCATGATCTGACACCTGAGCAATAAAAAATTGGTTTTCCAACATTGACATTGAAAATATGCAAGTTTTACTTTCTTAAACTGTATTGTATAAGTTCAATCACCAGAAATTGCCAAAGTTGAGTAAAAAAAAGGAAGACAAAAAAAAGACAATCCCTACCTACCCACCCTAAGTTTTTCAGGCCTTAGTTAGTGATAGATAATTAGTCCTCTTCCATTATGGCTACATTCTGTCAACTACAATTAGTATGGTTACAGCCAGCAATGTTTTGTCCAGCTATCAAAATGGATACAATTGTCTGTTTGGTATTATAGCTTTTGCATATTAACAGCCTCATTATAAGTGTAGCCTTGACCTTCATGTAGAAATGTGCTAACAATAGACCATGACAAGTGCTTGCTTGCAACTTGATATTTAGATATATTCAACCAAGGTCATATAAAGGGTACTATGAGGACATCACTGTACATATTACATGACCTGACATTGCACAAGATGGTCACATGCCACTTTGTTTCATTCTCAGATGAGAAAGCTTGGCTTTGATAGTTGTTCTACCATCTGGAGCTACATGTATATCATGAGTATATGTAAAAAATATATTTTGAGGCAACATATCTGAATGCTACTAGTAGAGAAAACAATACATCTATAGAGAAAACAAAACTTAACACAATAGGTAACAGCAGGTCATTCATTGATTATTTATCAGAAGAAAGAGGGAAAAGAAATGAATGTACTTTGCTGTCATCTCCCCTATTACATGAATGGTTGAACCCAGAGCGCTTCTATTGTCCTTCACATTCTATGTCAGTGATCACACTAACTCCAGAGTGGTATTACTGTATCAACATCTACAAATTTGACATACTCAGGAATTTCTCTTCTCGTCTTGCAGAGTTCTGGCTTTGTGTCGCCAATCCGCAAAATGTTCTCCAAGAGCGAGCGAGGCAGCGATAAGAAACCGTCCATCGTGAGACACCGACGCCCTCTCCATGCGGTTGTCCTTGAGCCTCCTGAATACCTCATCGACCCAGAACTACTCGTAGAGGACTATATTGAAAAAGAAGTCAAGGTAAGGTCTGGAATGTGTTGTGTTAAGCTGATTGTAATGTAATTGGAACATGATGCACAATGTTGCAGTATGATTTAAGATAACAAAACACACAAAATATGAACAAAACTTTGTTCCTTATATGCAAAATTCGTTGAGCGATCTGTGAAATTGTGGTTGCTCTTAATTGTCTAATGAAAAATGGGTGTTATATGAAGCAGGAATTTTTTTGGAAGACGGAAAAAGCTATTTATCGTTGCAAGTCCTTCCTATAGTGTAGGACATGTACTTGGGACTGAACACCATCTGTCTAATGTTAAAGGACAATTACATGCACTGTTGTATGGTTTCACCATGGGCAAACTTTTTGGTATTATAGCAGCTTATTACAGGGTATAATATTTCTGTCCAGAAATAATTAGAACAATTATATTGCAGAAAAATCTGTCAACATTAAAATTCCACTTTCTGTGGTTTTGATATTGAGTTTGACCTAACCGCAGCACTTTATTTATTAGTAAATATATACTTAAGTTCACACAATGCTGGATATTGAACCCCATTTATCCATAAATCTATGTATATATACATTGTCTGACAGGATGAGGAAATAGGAAATACAAAGATGTGTATTTTGTACAAAAGCAATGTCAGAAGATTTATAACTGTAACATGTACCATGTTGGGCCTTTGTGTTGCCTGTACCCGGGTCAAAGAGAGAACAATTTATTGATCCACTGCCCACATCTGTCAGGCTTGTTTCCCTCAGTTGCGTGCATACAATATTTTTTCAACACTTGAATCACCTTTGTGAGGTGCTTTTCTCTACATAATTCATGTCATTTCTCATGAATATGAAGGTAAAAGTACTATTGTTCATGATTCTAAAAAAGATAAAGAGAACTAGATACGTGTGATTTGTGTGGCTCTCCAATGTTTTTGCAATGGTGGTTAGGGAATTGTTGTGGAAAATGATATATTGACTTTTGTTACAATGTAACTACATGGAATTGTTGAAACAAAAATTTTGGAAATGTATTAAATTAAGTAACAATATTCATTAAAACCAGGTAAAAACCATTGTAACTTTTCCTGGCTTAATGAATGAATGAAAGATAGCAGTTTTCCCTCAAAATGTCAACCAAGTAAAGATATGCAGATTATCTATAATTATAAATCATTATTTTGATTCTCCTTCTTTCCACAGTACTTAGGAGCAATACCCAATGTACCTCAGGGTCTGGACCTGACCAACAGGACAGAAGTCTTAAGAATAGTGGATGATGGGAAGGTGAGTGTCTGCAGAGTGAAGAACAGAATGAGTTTGGGGAAATTATCTAATAAGTTTACATTGTATAATCAATCATTTTTATATGGTTCCTGTTCCCTATGTATAAAACAGCTTAAATATTAGACTTATAATTTGCAATACATTTTATCTGTTTATTACTCCCTGGTACAGAAATACTATTTTGTGGGTTTGTTAATCTGTTTGTTCTAGACAGAGTAGGTTGACTGCACATGGGTGGGGGAAGATTGACAGGCAGAATGACTCAGACATAGGAAATGAGATGAATTTGAAGACCACCAAAACTGAAAATACTTCCCATACGTCTGAAATCTCTGATTTGTTTTACAGAGAAGGGGTTTGTTACCCTGGACGTTACACATAGAACACGATGCCATCATGAGTCTATCCGCCAACAACGTGAAGCTGCTGCGCCGAGAC